TTTATATATTTAAATTATTATCGAGAATTAATTAATTGTGTTTAAATAATGAGCAATGTCCGTCTAAGGCATAGCCCTGTCGTAATAGGTCCGTACGGAAAAGGGAGGGAGGAGGAAAACGCGCGTGGGAGGGTGATTCAGTGATAGTGATATATAATTCTTAGATAAACAGGAGGCGGGAGGAAGTATAGACTCACGTCCAATTTCACATTTCTCTTTCGCTTCCTAACTTCCATAACTGCTCTGCTTCTATCACCAAACTCATCACCGCACCATGAAGTCCAAAACGCGAAGGTCCAACCTCCAATCTCCGTCTCCGCCCAAGAAGAGGCTTCGGTCTCAGCTTCCACGCCGCAGGCGGGATCCGATTTCTCCTTTTTTCTGCTCGCCGGACTCCAGCTCTGGCTCCTTCCACGGAGGAGGACCTGAGGTTACTACCAAACTCGACGCGGTTTTTGGATTCCAGCGTGGTACTGCGGGTTCGAGGAAGAGACGATTCGGTTCCATTGGTGGCGATCTTCAAGTCGATTTGAATTTGGATGCAGCTTCGAATGGAGTGTCCAGAGATTGCTTGCAGGAGGAGTGCGAGGTTAGGAAGAGTAATGTGGAAGTGTCTGAATCGTCTTGCGTGGAGTCGAATTCTGGAGTCGATTTTGGTGTTGTTGGACCGAGTAACTCCAGGTTGAAGAGTAGGAGAGAGTTTAGGAGAACTATTGACCAAAACAAAGATCCAGCGGACAATGGAGTTCTGGAGTTCCAATTCACTGAGGCTGATGTCTCGTCGAAGCTTTGTGGAAAGGGAGCTGTGCCGTCCAATCCTTGTGTACAGTCTTGTGCTGAATCTATCCTCGAGAGCGTCTGTTCCTTCGAAGAGAAAGGACTAGAGGTTGAAGAAAACGGACTATGGGACTTTCAGTTACAAGAGATACCGAGGAATGAGATCAATGAAACTTTCACTGTTTCGAAGTCGGATTCCACGATAGAACAGTGGCCTAACAGCTTGAAGTTTGAATCGGATCTTGCTTGCACAGAGCAGTTCTCTTACGAGGATGTTTCGGAATACTCTAGCCAGGCCTTGTCCGAGCTTCGGTCAACTATTCTATTGGAGACGTCTGATACGGACTGCTCAGATTACACTCCTTCAATTTTCTTGGAATCCGGAAGCGAATTTTCAGAAAAATCAAACGACGACGCAACTCCTTCATCAACATTCAGCATGCTGGTGCAGTACAGGCGCGACTTTCTAAGATCAAGTGCCTCTCAAGACATTAGAACTGGCACATCTATTGAAGAAGAGAAAGTAGATCAATCTACGGTAATTCTCTATTTTCATGCTTCCTTGGCGTTTCATCAGCAACAAACCTGCAGCAAATCAAACAACTTATATTGTTTTTATTTAATTGATTTGAACTTAGATTTTGAGATTCGAAGAATTGGACAATGAAGAAGCCTATCGAATGATCAGAAATAGAGAAAGACGCCAATTGATTATTCGCGACTACGGAGAAGAGTACCGGTCGTCGACGGATTATGGCGATCTCATTCTCCAGGAACGGTCAAATATGGTCCAATGGATAGTTGAGGTAAGTCCTTGATTTGAACCACTGTGTTTCTCTCAATAGTTCCAGAATTAGCATGAGATATTGCACCGGCCTTCCATTTTCATCGTTAATAGCTTCTGTATTCTGAGACATTGGGACTGCATAGCGTTTGAGACACCCTGTCATATTTCAATTTGAACTTTATCCAACATTGTACTTTTCTGGTATCGACTATTTCATCGGTGTTTTCTGGAAATTTCTCATCTGGCTTTAGAAAAATACGTCAAATCTGATATCCTTATGTGTATGAATTTCACGTTATCGACTTCAAAATTTACAACATTCTCTGTTTACCATCTCGTGTGATTGTATGTAATCAGGCACTATCTCCCTCTTAGTTTAAATGTAACTGTAATTTACTATCGAAAATTACAAAGTCATTAATATGTTCATGATTTTGCTCCTGTTTCATCAAGTTGTTATAAGCTCTTTCTAACGAATTAGGCCTGCCACGCGCCCATTGCATCTGGCATCTTGAATCAGCCAAGTTTAACCGACTTTTCTTTTCATTTGTTACTTCTGCTTGGATACATTAGCTGTTTATTTTTATCTTAATAATAGTATAAACATTTATAACAGCGAGATTTGCGCTCATTACGGAGAATGTTGGGATTTTGTTAGGAATTCACCAAGGCAGTTTCATTTTCATCATCTGTTATAGTTCACGAAATACATTCTTTATAATCTGTTAATTCCTTTTCATGCGGTAAGACTTGTCATCAATCAGTTGGGTCAAACCTTTTTTTTTTTTTTTTTTCCGAATTATGTAGAGATCGAGAGATACCAAACTTCATCAGGAGACGACATTTTTAGGAGTTACCCTCCTGGACCAGATTCTGAGCAAAGGATTCTTCAGAGCTGGAAGCCACCTCCAAATTCTGGGCATTGCATGTCTAACTTTGGCTACTAGAATCGAAGAAAATCAGTCATACAGCTGGTGACTTCTTTTTTCTCTCGTCTATCAATGTGCATCTACTATAACTTCGTTACTCTATATATGATGAAGATTGCTTGGAAACAAATTATATGTCGGTCTTCTTGCTTTGGTTCAAGGGTGGTAAATAGTATTAGAAATGATAATCAGAAAACAATGTATATAAGTAATTGAAACTATCTAGTAGTCTTGAATGTCTTGGAAACAAATTATATGTCGGTCTTCTTGCTTTGGTTCAAGGGTGGTAAATAGTATTAGAAATGATAATCAGAAAACAATGTATATAAGTAATTGAATCTATCTAATAGTCTTGAATGTTCTTGTTCGTAAGTTCAAATTGCCGGGCCTGAAAGCTTTGCGTTCACATGGACAAAAGAATGTTTGTCACATTGTGAATATACCGTGGTCAATATTTTAGCAGATGTAACAAATAATAGCCGAACTTATTGTCGATACACAGTTCTTAAGTTAACAACTCATGTGCACAGAAGAGACCCAAGACCCACCAATAAAATGCTTATCTAACCATCAATACATTGAGGCTGCTCTAAGTCGAGTCATATGCGAATCAGCTTTATAACAATTCTATTCTTCTCTTTTCTGTAAACTTCCTTTTATCCAATCTTCGTTTAGCGTTGACTTGTACTTTACATGCAAAAAGTTAAATCATCGTCTGTCATTGAATAGAGCCTTGAGAATTGAGAAGATATAATCTGGTGGGTCTCGAGCTTTGGTGGATCTATTTAAAAAGCGACGATAGTACTGATTGGTTTTATTTTCGGTATTTCAGGTTGCAGCAAAGGAATATTCGTGTAGGGAGCAACACGTATAGAAGATCTGAAGTTGTTGGTATGGAATGGCTAGTTGAAGAAGTTCTAAAGTTCCATTGTTTCCTGCCAACTGTCTACAACTTCTTGTGGTACATCTTCCTCAGACTAGCTTCACCATTTGTAGGACAAATTTTTTTCTCCCTCGTCCATCCACTGTTAATAAACTCCTTCCGCCCATTAACAATTTGAATCTACTACACATAACATGCTTTATTATTTCTTTTGACAATGGGTATTTGAAAATAATCTTAGGTTCTACCTGAAAGCTGCTGGAGCTGACACAGATTTGGAGAATCGAGCTAAGAACTTCGCAGTGCTTGTTCTGTCAGAGAAAGTCCAATTTTGTTATTTCCCTTCAACTATTGCAGCTGCGGTTGTCATCCTGGCGTCCCTAGGAGAAAAACAGGATGCACCAAGTCAACGAGTCATCGAGGTAAAAAATACAGACCTGCGAAAGAAAATTCATTCTTCATCAATATATTTACGTACTTGAATAATAATATAAATATGTATTTGAAAATCTAGAAGAAAATTTAAAGATTTACGAAAACAGCATAATCTAAATCCAATTAGATTCACATTATAATGTAAGGTACAATTATAAAGTTCATATACTATAAGAAAATTCATATACAATTATAAGTGTCCTGGAAATCTTTTGAGAACTACTACTGTTACTTTGCAATTTCTTTCATAACCTATGATAATTGAAATGACACTTACTTGACTTTATGTGTAACTATCTTATAACATTTGGAGCATTATCGTTTTGCAGACTCATATCAGAACAGAAAACGATGATCTGCATGAATGTATTGAGGTATATAACTAGTCAACTAGAAAAACTGATTTATTCTTGCATAAAACTTAATTCCTTGAATTCTCACTTATTAAGTCACTTGAGCAAAAGTTACTGATGCTGTATTAATTTGAACAGAGCTTGGAGTGGCTATTAAAGTTTTTATGATGGAAAGCATCATTTCCTAACAGCAAATAAGCAATTTCTGTTCCATTGACTTTGACATATTCTTCCTTCCTGACCACTTAAGACCAACCTGAACAGCTAGTGAAGGTCACTCTCTCAGGTAGGACATTCAATTCTCGTCTTCCATCACCTATGAATGAAAAATATGATGGATTGCAAAAATCTTCTTTGGTCAACTCGTCGAATAACTACTATTTTGCTTTCAAATTTTTATACGTGTATCTAGTCAAGTCTAAACCAGATCATCTACGTGTTCGAATTTTCCATCGGTGTCATTTGTGTACAGGTTGTATGTGTTTGATACTCAGAGCTATGACCCTATATTCTTACGGAAACAACAATTATGATGAGATTTTTAATACTTGAGCAATCAGAGTTAAATTGTAAACCATGGATGTCATTCCCAAAAATTCTTATTGCAGTTGCAATTGACAAATGAGCTAAGGCTTAGACGGAGATCATTTTGCCATCTTATTAGATTTGTGTTCGTCGTTTTATTGAAAAATCATTCCAAACAGGTCGTCCTAAGTCGGCTTTTGTAAAGTTTTTCTTTAAACAAGAGAGGAGATAAAAATACATATTCATCCTAAAATGGTAAGAAACTCGAGTATATAAATTATAGAAGTTAAATGAAACATTGTATAATCAAGTATTCAAAAAGTGAATTTTTCACTCAAAAGAACGTCATGACATTTCAACAGGAGCAGGTGTATAAAGAAGTAAACCCTGTAATTGGAGCACCTCTAGATGAAAATGTATATATCATACAGTTGATTGGGGAAAGCAATGTATTTCACAAGTGTAGGTTTTCATGCGTATGATTCACAACTTACTGTCTATCTATCAGCTGAATTAACTGGAACAATAGCAGGCTCCCCCGGTAAAGGCTCGTCGAGATGGAACTCGGCGAAGTTATTGATGATCCCGGTTCTTTCGTGGTATATACTCTCCTCTTTCTCCTCCTCGGCTTTCTCGACTTTTGCCTTTGTCATCTGGGTCACTTCCTCGGCAGCTTTTGTAACTGCAGTTACAGCATTTGAAAACCAAGCTGCTCCAGTTAACACGTAATAGTTGCTCATGAGCGCAGTCCCAGCGTTGCTTGCCTTCTGCTCGGCAACTGCTAGAGCGGATTTCGTCTTCTCCGTAACCTGGAACATTTCATCCATCTCCCTGACCTTTTCATTCACCACTGCTGTGCCTGCAGTTATTTTCTCAGTTATACCCATCTTCCTGTCAATGGAAGCGACAGTTGCAGAAGCGTTTGATGTCAATTGGAGTCGTTCGTCGAACGCTTTTGCCTTGTTGAGAGCATCCTTCCCCAAGATGAAGCCTTTTGCGAGCATTGTACTTACAACGTCTTCAGCCTGACTCGGAGCAATCCTGGTAGCAGTTTTCCTTTTATCCTTCAAAAGGTCATTAAGATTTTAAGTAAATAGTTTGCAATACCTCCTTGAAGACAAAGACGGCTACTTGATAATCAAGATTTCAAATCGAATAATGTAACTCGTTTATGTGCAGGAATTCAAGGGTCGACAACGAATGCATATACACGAGACGTTTATTACCAGGATTGATGACATTGCTTCAGGTGGAAGATGGTAATTCTCAACCAGAGTAATTGATACAAATAGATCACCAATTTTTGCACCCTAAGAGAAGAGATTAAGAGAGAAAGGTTCACAAAAACTAACATAAATTATAGAAATAAAGAGACCAATGTGCCTAAAAAGGAACATACAGTTAAAAGTATTGCAGTATCTGCTCCTTGAGAATCCTCATATGTAACATAAGCAACCTGAGTATTTTCAGTTTCTCTACACAAAATAAAAACAATAATAATAATAATAATAATTCTCCAAACAAAACAAACAGATAGAATATAATCACTAACCTTTGCATTTCAACATAAAGGATTTGACCAGAGAATGAAAGGAATTCTTTGATATCTCTCTCAGAAGTAGCTTTTGAGATATTGCTGACCTTGACAGTTCTCATCTACATAAGATTTTTTTTAAAAGAAAAAAAGAAAAAAACCCATTAAAAATAATTAAGAAATGCAAGTGTTCGAATGTACATTTATAATATCATTCCTTCTTCAAATTAATACCTAAACTTATGAATGACAGAATACACATATATATATGTGTATATATCAAATCTCACAATGCCAACGAGAACGCTGGGCCCTAGAGGGATGGATTGTGGGATCTCATGTCGATTACAGAGGGGAACGAAGCATTTTTTATAAGGGCATGGAAACCTCTCCTAGTAGAGGTATTTTAAAAATCTCGAGGAAAAGCTCGAAAGGGAAAACACAAAAAGAACAATGTCGGCTAGCTGTAGGCGAACTATTACAAACTTAGTAGATAAGACTATCATTTATCTTCTCAAAAGTTGATACTTCTACCCTCCACACCCCTACAATTTTTGTACGAAAAACTAGTATTTAAATTTTTTTAAAAGGCAGCACTAGTTAGAGAATTAACATTCTAATAATTGTTGAGCTTCATCATACTTATCAAGTTTTTGGATTTAGTAGTGAACAGTACTTAGTGTTGACTCCGTTGAGTTCATCATCAAAGTGAAAAGAAAGAACTAGGGTGAGATTCAGGTAGCTGGTTTCAGAAATAGAAAATTAAGAACCAAAAACAAAAAGGATTTAGCAGTGAATTCACCATGCTAATTTTCACTTCACTCAACCTTTTTGAGAAGAAACTGAAAACAAAAGTTGGGATTGAAGCAGCTGATTTGAGAGGAAGGAAGGGACGAAGAGACTGTTTTGTTGATAAATTCAAAATTTGGGGGAGAAAAATCAGTGGAATTCTGTCGGCAACCAATCAGAATCAGAGGTCATTGTAGAAGCCAGAGACCTTGAAAATCAAAATCAAAATCAAAATTAGAAAGAAAAACAAAACCCTAGTTCCACATTACAACTACAATTCCCCAAATCGCCATTACCCATCAGAAACAAAAAAACAATTACTAAACATAAATGCGGCAGATCTGCATCAAAGATTCACAGATAACAGAAGAACAAGATGATGATGAAGAAGAACTCACCGACATTTCTGAAAGGTAAAAGAATGGTTGAGAAGGGAATTAGAGATAGCGGAAGATGATAGGTTGATGAGATCAAGCGGCGGGGAGAAGAGGAGAAGAAGAGAAGAAGAGAAGAGACGAAATTCTTGTAGGGAAGAGCCTTTTTTTTTGGGCTCTAGCGGAGGCGGGACCAAATTTGACTGTACCAAATCACTGAGCCACTCATTGATAAAATAGAAAATTATCCAAATTTCAACCGAAGTAAAGGTGATAATTATTTAATATATAAAATAAAAATATTTCTCTATTTTTGTTGTTTTTATTTAAATTGGTTTAACATAGCACTACCAATTAATTTGAACATTGTTAAATTGATTAAAATACTTAATTTTAATTTAGAGGTTACCTCCTCCCATCATCGCTGCGTGCATAAACACCTCCATTACCTCCTCCCATCATCGCTGCGTGCATAAACACCTCCATCCTTCCCACGTCGCCATCGTCGGTAGCGGCCAAGACTCGCCATGGACGAGGCAAAGAATTAGTGTAAAAGAATATATGTTAATATCAGCTTTGTCAACCAACTAATCTTGTCAAAACTTGAAAAAGAAATTTAAAAAACCATGCAGCAGCAAAGAGATCTACAATTCTGGCTTTTATATTGATGATTTCATTTCGCTACTAGACATTCTATGAAATATACGAGTCAAGGTAAATAAAAATTAAGAAGCATACCATTTGAGAGCCACAAGGAAGTTAAAAAGGAGATGAAAATGTTGCATCTTATCTTCTTGTCAAAAAAATGGACACCTGCGAGGGATGCCTTTCCTTCTGCGTTTTCTTGGCCTTGAAGATGAAGAGGTAGCTTGGGTCTCTTCTGTGGACTCTGCAACTGATATGGTTGATTCCAATTCCCATGCTTCTGTTTCTGGGCTGCTTTTTTCCTTGAATGATAAGTAAATGGATTCCGGGCTCGGATATATGATGGTTCCAATGATCTGTTCCTTGAACTTTGAGTTCACAGAAACCTGATGTTTTTACAGCATTTGAATTGTTAACAATCTGTGTGTGATGCAGTAATAAAATTGTTTAGAATATTGTCGGGCCGCGCCGTCAACCTCACGATTTTTAAAACGCGTCTCTTAGAGAGAGGTTTCTACACTCTTATAAAGAATGTTTCATTCCTTTCTTCAATCGACGAGGGATCTTACAATCCACCCGCTTGTGAGCCCAGCGGCACACTACTCGGGGACTGATTTTGATATTATTTGTAACAGTCTAAGCTTACTATTAGCAGATATTGTCAGATTTGACTCGTTATGTACAGGCGTCGGTCTCACAGTTTTTAAAACCCGCCTGCTAGGAAGAATTTTATATGCTCTTGTAAGGTCCAACTGATGTGGATAAGGTTCATATGTTTCTAACCTTGCAAGCGATGGAACAGAAGGGATGAGGATCATTTACACTTCTGCCACAATCTTCACAAAAATCACCAAACTTCCGCTTTGGTGATTTGGTGTCGACGGGTTGACCACGGGAGTTTAGATGAACAGCTATTTCACCATTGACTCGATATGACTGCAGAATCAAGCAATTGGGGGCTTCAAGTTAGGGGGCATAGAGATGGATTCATAGAACAAAGGCAAACTTTTACAAAACAAACCAAAAAACAACTCGATAGCAAACAAACTTTATTCCTATTACTAAAACTGGTATCGGACAGGAATCAAAGTATCAAATTGTATATTCATCCATTCAAACTGGCAAGGATCAAAATCAGGCTGGTGAGATTTCCTCAAGAACATATCATTTTCGATTCAAGAATTACTAGTGCTTAAAAACCAGATAATTTGGCTAACAAATTTAAAAACTATCTGTTTGAATGAAAAAAGGAAAACCTATCTCTAAAGTCGATGATTTCAACAACATAAGCAAAAAGATCAGCAACAAACAGATGGAATTCAGGCATCTTTTCTATCAAAGACAATTATAGTCGGAAAGTTGCTCGGCACTCGCACACGTCGCAAGGCCCAGACACGGGAGGCACAAGGGAAAGAATGTATTATACCTGAATCTCTGCACAGCAAAAGTGATTCTTCATTACCTGAACGCGCACAACATCATGATAGGAATATCTCCAGATACGAACCTGCCCATGAAGATTACGGACTGTACAATTCGTGCAGAAGCTAACACTACAATCAATGCAGAATTTATATGTCTGGAGACTAGGATGAAGATTGCAAGGAGTGAAGAATTTTGTATTCAAAAGCGTATCAAGACAGTCCGTTTCCATTTGCTTCACTAAAAAACTCGCATAATTATAACCTACAAAATCACAAAAAAATCTATCCACTCCGTAAAATTTCAATCATCCTCCTTCACGGAAGAGAAAAAAAACATTTGATTCTTGAAAAAACTGCTTTCAAATTCAGAGTCGAACTTTTAAATTTAACGGCCAGTCAATTAACCGAGCTCGAATTGAAATACACTAAACGATATAATAATCAATCGCAGAAGTGGAGTGATTCAAAAATCAAAAATAGCAATCGCGGAACCCGAACAGACGCTAAAAAGTAATCGAAAAAATCTTCCCAAGAAGCAGTAAGCAAGTGGATTCAATATTCATTATCGTGAAAGAATCAAACAAAAATAAAACAAAGGAGTTCAAAAAATACACAATCACTTGAAAGTACTAAAATCCTTACAGATTCTTCCGATTGGAGAGCGAACAGAATGACTGAAACCAGTACAAGAACGCAGAAGAAGCAGCGGATAAATTGGATTAAGCTCTGCAACTGGAGGAAGAACGAAAAGAAAGACGAAGATTAAACTGAAAATGGAAACAGTATTCTTTACGATATTCGTTCCTCTTGTTTGATAAACGAACATCTTTTGGGAGTGTTTGTATAAATATGTGCGCAATCATTAGACGGAGAGAGTCCGGCTACGATCAGCATGAAGGTGAAGGCATGCTGACCGTTGGATTGCGCGCGCATCCGATGGCGAAGGGTAAAGCCTCTTTTTTTTTTTTTTTTTTTTTTAAATTTAATTTTAATCTGTATATATATACTAATCATGATATTGTCCCCTTTTGAGTCCAAAAAACCTAGAGCCCTGTTTTTCCAACACAAACAAAATCATGTTTATGGACCTTAGGAAGATTAATAACACTGCATAGAAGTATCAGAAGCTTCCAAATTCAGTGCCCCGCCCCCGCGCTTTTCCGGGGAGTATGAGAAGAGAAATCTACTAGGGCCAGAAGAATTTACACCGTAGAAGAAGCGGCGGCGGCGGTAAAACCAGCGGATTATGGAGAAGGCAGAGGCGGAGCGGAAGGTCGAGGAATCTGTGGAAGAAGATGATCAGGTGGTAAATCCATGGCAAGTTTCGGCTAAAGATGGGGGTAAAATCGACTACGACAAGCTAATTGACAAATTCGGATGCCAGAGGCTCCAGCAGTCTCTCGTCGATCGAGTCCAGCGGCTAACTTCTCGTCCTCCTCATGTCTTCCTCCGCCGTGGTGTCTTCTTTGCCCATCGGTTTATTTCTATCTCTCTCGACATTCTTTTTGCAGTTCCATTATTGCAGTAATTGAACTTAGCTTTGTTTCACTTTCTTAGGGATTTTGAAGAAATTTTGAATGTGTACGAGAGGGGAGAGAAGTTCTACTTGTATACAGGAAGAGGGCCTTCTTCTGAAGCATTGCATTTGGGGCATCTGGTTCCTTTTATGTTTACCAAGTGTGTTTCAGTTTCTTCTTACAGTGCATGCTTTGGCCTTAACATATTTATTTCAAGTGATTGTGCTTTAATTGAGTTTATGGATTAGGAGGTTCAAATTTTTGCTTTTTCACTATCTGAATATAGGCATTGGATGTTATTGTAGATATTTGCAAGATGCATTTAAGGTGCCCCTTGTGATACAACTCACTGACGATGAGAAGTGTATGTGGAAAAATCTATCTGTGGAAGAGTGCCAGAGACTTGCTCGTGAGAATGCCAAAGACATCATTGCTTGTGGTTTTGATATTTCGAAAACCTTTATCTTCTCCGATTTTGATTATGTTGGTGGGTGAGTATGATGGCGAACTCGTCGATTGTAAGAGAAGAAAAATCTAATAGTCATTTACTGGAACCGGCAGATCTTTCTGATTGTCTTACACATATTACTAGGAGTGATTTATATGCTTGCTACCTGGAGATGTTTTTAGTTTACAAATATATGTTTTTTGTTCGGTAAAAAAAATCCAAGTGATTAGACTTCCTAATTTGGTTTATTTTGGGATTTATTTCACAGTGCCTTCTATAAAAACATGGTGAAAGTAGCCAAATGTGTTACATACAACAAGGTACTCACTTATATTCTAATCATTTTTAATATTTTTCATTGTCAAGATTTCTTTATTGATATTGTTACTATTATTATGCTTATTGTGATGTGTTGGTCATGAAGGTTGTGGGTATTTTCGGGTTTACTGGTGAAGATCATATTGGAAAAGTTAGTTTCCCACCGGTGCAGGTATAAATGGCAACTTTTATTAGGAATAATGAATCTTTCTTATTGAAATTTATTTTGTGTCATTACATTAGTTTTATATCATATTGGGTTATATCCATTCTAATACATGATCCTAATTTTGTCACATGGATTTTGATCTAGTCTTTCAGATGAATTACTGACATTCATTCACGATCTTTGCACTCTCACACAATAGATGCATTCTTTATATTTAAGATTTTAAAAGAACTAATGTATCATTAACTTCTAAAAAATGAAACTTATTTTTCTCATTCTCAAAACTCCATTTCTATGAAGATCGAACTACAGTTTTATCAGTCTCTCTTCTTAAGAAGAAACAGCCTCGTATTAAATACGAAAGGTACAAAAAGAATGCCGACGACATCTTCTCTCAAGGGGTAAAGGAGATTGTGAGAATTACTCTTTTTGACCTCCGATTGTGAATACTTGTGTTAGTAGGGGTGTGTCACCTAGTTATAGTGAACCTGCCAGAAATGACGATTATGGATGACTTCCTACCATTGAAATTGGGAAATCTGGATCTAGTGTTGAGCATGTAGCGGTTGAGAAAACAAAGATTGATGACTGCCAATTGGAGAAATTTGTTACTTTTCTGTATCGTTCATTTTGATATAACAGTAGTTCTCTGATAGGGAGGGGGAGTAACCAGCCCTCTGGAATTAGCTGGGAAGTTATCTTTCTTGTACATTTTAATTGCTTCCATTTTGTAAGTTGTGTTCTGTGTTGATATCATAGCGCAAAGTAAGAAGTAGTGTTCTTACGTACTCCAATTAGCATATATTATAAGTATAATATGAATTCTACATAGAGAATGCCAAGGTGAAGCTATAAATCTCACGAAGTCAAAGAGCTCATTAAGTTACATTACGTTGAAGTTTGAATGGATTGGAACTTACCATAAATCACAAAAACCACATCGCTCTTTATAATATAAATCACAAACACAACCACCACACTCCGTGTACCATAAGTCACATAAACAACTAAAAATGGGAAATCACTTTTCTTTGATATCCATGATTATTTTCTCCCTCTGCATAATTATGACAATATCACTGCGTCTATAGAATTATTTGCAAGACTAATCTAATTCTCTTTTTCTTGCTTCATCACCCCACTCTGATGCAGGCAGTTCCTTCATTTCCGAGTTCATTCCCACATCTTTTCTCTGGCAAGGATGATCTTCGGTGCTTAATACCTTGTGCTATTGATCAGGTATCGTTGATTGTTTCTCCTAGCACAAGTTTTTGTGCACCTTATTAAATAGCGTGTACCACATTGCTCAGTCATATAGTCTGGGTTTTGTCTTTTATTTATTTGGTCCATGATTGAGATTTTCTCTATTTATATGAATTTTATTTATTGGTTCTCCAGGATCCTTATTTTCGAATGACAAGGGATGTAGCTCCTCGCTTAGGATATCATAAACCTGCATTGATTGAATCTTCTTTCTTTCCTGCCATGCAGGTAATACCACAATTCTTTGTTCAGTTACCACTCAATATCGATTAATTTATAGAATCTTTTCGAACTACAAAGGAAAAAATCATTTTAAATATGGTGGATACTTACTTGCCAGTGTAGATGGGCTTGGCTTAAACTTGTGTATGATTTTTATGGTTGCACGACTTTTATGTTAGCGTTATCATGTTTATAGCTTTTTTTTTGTTTTATTTATTTTACTTGTACCCTTTTATTTCTTCAAAAGTTCTGTACATACTACAAAAATTTGGTTCCCTAGTTTTATGTAGAACACGGCACCAGCAATTGTATGTGATAAGATCCCTGATCCTTCTCGTTTGTATAATTTGTGCATCGTGCAACTTGTTTCTTATTATCTCAGTATCTGATCTGCAGGGAGAGACAGGAAAGATGTCTGCAAGTGATCCTAATTCTGCCATATATGTGACTGATTCTGCAAAGGACATAAAAAACAAGGTTTAGTTTCGTTCTCTTATAATTGGTTTTCTATTGAGACTTGTGTGTGCCAAAGAATAGCTTAATCTGTCTCTGAAGCTTCAAGATGTGGTAACTGGGTCACATGTCCATGCTTTTTTTAAAAAAAGAAAAAAATTATTGGGATAAAACAATAATATAAACAATAATATATTTACACAAAGAACATGTTTGTAAGAAAAGTGGATAAGGCAAGCTCAAAAAAAAAAAAAAAAAAAAAAAAAAAAAAAAAAAAAAAAAAAAAAAAAAAAAA